TTTTGTTGGGTAATTAGTGGTCTGAGATGGTTTATTGTTGTTGAGCCCCATGCACAAATTCCATAGGTGAGATAGGGGTAAATAAGTGAGTGATATAGGGCCAGGAGGGCTGACTGTGGAACATAGTACCGTATCTTCGATAGTATGCCTACAGTCTTGGAAATTTGTTGTACATGTGTTTGAAATTTGAGTCTGTTATCAAGGTGGATTCCTAAGAATTTTCCCTCTGTGAGCTTTGTGATAGGTGATCCGTTTATCATTATGTTAAGAGGGACATCTGTAGCTCTGTTACCAAAGTGAATGAAATAGGTTTTGTCAATGTTGAAAGTAAGTTTGTTAGTCATCATCCAGGTAGATATTTTCTGTAATTTGGTATTCACAGTATTGGCTAGCATGACTGGGCTTGGGTGAGAGAAGACGTATGTAGTGTCATCTGCAAATAGTGTGGGTTTGAGTAGTTGCGATGCATTTGGTAGGTCATTTATGTAAACAAGAAAGAGAAGAGGGCCAAGGACACTTCCCTGTGGGACATCAACTGTAACTGGCTGCGCGGAAGAGTTTGCACTTGCAAAGTTTGTACTTGCATCACACTGAGTGTCCGTGGTTCAATACCCTGCCGGGTAGACACATTGGACATGTTTCCTACTCCTGCTATCCCTGTTTATCTAGCAGTAAGTAGGTACTTGGGTGTTAGTGGTCTGGTGTGGGTGGCATCCTGGAGGACAAAATCGAAGGATCACAGTGGAAATAAGACAGAAAGTCCTCGATAATATACTAACTTTCTTGGATTATCCTGGGTGGCTAACCTTCCCCCTGGTTAAAAATCTGAACAAATCTTATCTTTTACTTCCAATCTTACATGATTAACTAGGGGTAACACTTCCTAAATAGCACTTCCTGCCTGGTCATCTTGAAACAGGGTTCGATACGGTGTAGGTTGTCAGTGGCCCTTGAAACCCCCAACAATAAAAGAAGTAGATGAGTGTTCCTCTGCGGAGTTTGTGGTCCTGATGAACCCAACAAACAAACAAATAACTCGGCGTAGTTTTGCAGTATTTTAGTTTAAATTTGCTGTCTAATGTTGATGCAAAACTGCTGTATATATCATTGTTACTGGCTACCACAAAGATAATTACTATATTTAGAAACGTAATTTATTTTAAAGTTTGTTAAAGATTGTTGTTACTTCATTATCCTTACGTTGGTGAAGGGCTCTTGATCTAGGGAATTGGATCTGTGCTCGTTCCCTGAATTGAGCCTGAATGCCTTCTCCCCCTCCCACAGGCGCTGTATAATCCTACTGGTTTAGCGTTCCCCCTTGATTATAATAATAATAATAATTAGCGTTCCCCATGTTTATAATATTTCTATATTAATGCAGTACAGCAGTATGTTAGAACAATCTTTTGGATAATTGGTAATAGTTAGCAACATGTTCTTGGTGGAATTCATTATTTTATTTACAGTAGTGTTCTGCCTCTTATTTTATATCTCTCTAACCCCCTCCAGGTACTTTCTTAACTAGCAAAAATAGTAGGTATTTGTATTGTGTATTTATTTTAATTATTGCATTATTATGATGGCTCCTGAATATAATACCTTTCCAGATTCCATCACTTCTTAATTGATACCAAAAAAAAAAAAAAATAACCATGCTAGATCTGCTGTGACACTTCCCTGGCCCTCTTTTTTTTTTTTTTACCTGATTCCCCTCCATCATCACCTTACTTCCTCTGTCATCTCTTTCACCTTGGCTATGTAGTACTCATTGACTTTTATGACTCTCTGATCGTGGGTTTTATCCCCACCCGTAGTATGGTTTGTTTACAATCGTGTCATTATGATTTTGTGACTCATTAACTTTTAATGGTTTTAGAGCTTTCTGTAAATATAATACTGTAATTCACAATTATTTTATTGAATCTCAACTTGTTTTTCTTATTATTATCTTGTTTTCATGTTTGATAAATGGTATATACTTAAATTCAGAATGGTGTGGATTTATGAAAATAATTTGTGTTGCTGTAAGGTTAATAATTAGATATTACAAGGACCTCAGTGGACATGAGTCACTGACTTTTTGAGTTATTCTGCGTAATTGACACATGTTACTGTGTAAGACAATTGTAATTATCTAAAATTGTGTAACTGCACTTCAATAAACTTATATACATGCTAATAAAATACTTTTAAGGGTTATTTTTGTGTCTCCCAACCAAGCTGAATAAAAACACTGCACCATAACCTTGATACAGTACAGCATACACACTACTGCATATTTGATGTGTTTAAACAAGGTCTCTTTCTGTTATATTCTCAGGATAATAGTGTTTGTTCTGAGGACTGTACTACGATACAGTAATATTAAATTCTGCATTCTTTCAGACATTGCCACCATCACTGCAGAAATGTTGAATTTCATTGCTCAGCAGGCATGGAAGTGCTCTGTGGTGAGTCTCTGATCTTGCCCTTTAATGTTGAACTATTATTTGTGTGAGTATCGTTAAGAGATGTAAGTTAGTTCCCTTTTCGTAGCAGTTTTATCTGTAAATATTGTTCAGGTAGTCATCTTGCAATGTTGATTATTCCAGTACTGTATTTATTGTATAATTAAAGTCACTAATTATCAAGCTTAGTGAAAAAAACAGCAAAGTTTTTAAATTTTCAAGTTGAAATAGAATATTATTTGAACTTATTGAACGGCAAGGCGGTGTTATTTACTTATACATGTAGAAAGTATTGGCAACTGTCCTAGTAATCCCCTCAAGGAAGGTTCCTTGATGTTGGTGAGGGGCTCTTGATTTAGGGAATTGGATCTGTGCTCCAGTTCCCCGAATTAAGCCTGAATGCCTTCCATATCCCCCCCCCAGGCGCTGTATAATCCTCCGGGTTTAGCGCTTCCCCTTGATTATAATAATAATAATGTCCTAGTAATAATCACTGAACAAGTGATAACTCTATTAGAAGGTAAATGGCACATACAAATTGTGGACAACAAGGATTTTACAATATATGTATATATGTACAGAATATACTATTTTGTACATGTACAATACTAATTTTGAATTCCATGCTGCTGCAGTCACAAACTTCAGACCAATACTAAATTTTACTAAATGCAAATTAGTTATAATCAGTCTTAAAAATCATCATATATTATAAAATAAATTATAATTGGTTCTCTTGACTGAAAAAATTACACTGTATGACTGTTACAAGCTCAGCATTTTTTTTTATATAACATTATAATAATAATTTGACATAACAAAAGGACATCAACGGCTAAATCTTAAAGCAATAATGTCAAGTACAGTAAACCCTGATTGAACAGACCTCCAGTTAACTGAGTTCAGAAATATGGGACAAAATTCACTAGGTCAGTTGATCTGGAGACTGTGGACCTTGCCCATTGGTTCTGAATCAACTGCCATGATTGCAGCAAAATAATCTCACCTCTATCTATCACAGGTGCCATTACCAGATAACCTGCTTTTCCCAGATTACTTCCTTAAATTGAGGGTTTACTGTAAAGATGGTGCACAAAGAAGGATATCATTGTAATTGTGAATTAAATTTCATCAGGTGCGCTCTTCACTGGTTTTGAGGCTCATGAGCACCAGTAGAAAAATTTTGGTTGAAGATCAACAAATGAAGTCTACACAAAGAGAGAAGTTAACCTTACATTACCTTAGGTCTTGGAACTCAGTCATTAATTATCATTATAGTAAGTGGTACTGTATTTTGTTTTGCTCTTTAGTTGTTTAATTGACAGGCAATACGGAAGGGAGAAGGTGAAAACATGAAAGCAGTATTAAGAGACAGAGCAAGTTGATGTAGGAAATGTTAGGGTCTGGTGAGGACAACAATCAAAATAGAGGCAGAATGACAAGTAAACAAAAGTTCTTTTGTTGCAAGTCACTATAGTTACATGAACATGGTTAGAGTCAGTGATGCTCAGATGCAGTGGATACCTTTATTATTGACATTTTGCCCATGCAGAGGCCTTATCATATTTTATGAAAAGCCTCTGTGTTGGCAGAAACTTGTCATTGATTATAAGGTATCCAATGCATCTAAGTGTCATTTACTACACCTTCTTGGTATTTACAACCATTTCGTTCCTACACCAGTTTTAGGGACTCTTCGTTAAGAAAAATCGTCAAACAATGCATTATATGGCAGCTTATTCAATTTATTTTTCTTAATACATGACTTAATTATATATAAAAAAAATAGTTTACATTTGTGTAATATGATTGAAGGGAGACAACATAGCCTTCCCAGGAGTGCTGCTCCTACTCAAAACAGATGTGAGATGGAATAGAACACTTGCTACAAGGTATAGAAGCAAGCTGAAAGAGACAGGGGGATAGATTGTTTTGAATAGCATTTACAAGAAAGGAATGTTTTGCATATTTCTAGAAGCTTCATTACGGATTGTGTGCTGGAATAATTTTTCACTCTACGATGTGAGAGCAAATAGAAGAATTGATGGAGTATAAGTTACTAGTAAAGCCAATGTTGTAACTTGCCACAATACAGTGAGACTGTTGTATTTTTTCTTTAATTACTGTACTTTCTGAACTGTAACCACATGTGTTTCATAAGGAATTAAAACTACTTACCTCTTCCTTGGTTCAGACTCGATTCCCCTTCATTTCCCAGGTAGTGTATGACTTCTAAGGGTTTTTTCACTTCCCAGTGATTGTTATAAAAAATTTTAACCTCTGGGTGTTGTAAAGTACTCCAATACTTTTCAGTACTAATACAGGTTTTTTTCATAATTTTTCAGAGGACATGATTAGTCACAGCGAAGTGCACACTTTTATACAGACTTCCCCAAAATTAAGACTGTCCTTAAGACTGAACTTGATAAAACATTAACTGTTCTCAAGGTAAATACTTATATTTTTCTTATATTTTGTTTCTTGGTAGTTATTCAAGCTAGTGATGAAGACAAAATTTGTGAATTAGTTAGGGTAGTGTAGGTATTCCACACAGTTTTTTTTGTTATTAGAGTTTAGCACACATCCAGAAAATGAATCCGATTAAACTTATGATCTGTATTTGTTGAATTTTGTTTAACTCATGTTAAGCGGTAAACCCATGTGGGCCATTCAGTGCAAGATGTGGTGCAGGTTTGATCCTCCATCTTCTGAGCACCAGACAGATGCCCTTCCTATTGGTACTTGCCTAGATCCTACATTTTCTTGTGATCTGTAGAGTACCTAATGTTATAGAAAGTTTTAGGTACATGCAAAAATATCAGCCAGTTGTGACATGTAATGCACTGGTTTTCTGAGATTTATGGGAGTTTTAAGATTGAAGTGGGTATTATCAAAAATTATCAGTGTAGTAGGCATGATTGAGTTTGCAGTCATTTACTGTAGCTCATGTATGTACTTGTATGTGTTGTTCATATTTCTTCCGAGTTAAATCCCATTTAATTTCAAAGCTACCACTAAAATAATTTGTCTTTGGAATTTTTAAAAATCTTGAAAACTCAAGAATATACAAGGAGGATTGATCAAATAATAAGGATCTATTAAGATTAATCTATGATAAGAGCTTGAAAGAACACAGGACTTTTTGGGAAACTTGGGAACAAACTTTCCTCTAGTTATATTTTATTTTATGAAAATTTTATCAAGACATTAACAAAAGTTTCAAATACATCTTCTTGTATTTGAAAACTTTTGTTAATGTCTTGGGTTGGAAGGGTTGAAACTATATATGGCTGCTCGTAGCCACATACATAGTTGCAGTCCTTCCATTGCACCAGGGTTACTGACAAAAACCACCCTAAAGCAAAGTACAGCAATATATATTATACAGTAATGGCAATTTCTTTAATGTAATTGCCATAAAATCTTCTATAGTTGGAAAGCATTACAAGTATTGTACAATAGGTGGTTGTAACTATTAATGCTTTATGAACAGCACAGTTAAGTTCCTTTTATATGTAATATAAACTGAAAGTTGCTCTGGTGCATCTGCAGAGTGAAGGCTACAGCTGGGATGAAATTCAAGAGTACAAGGAGATTCTTCTGCTAAATTCTAAAGACTTGAGAGATCGACTTGGAGTTTTGCATGACTTTTTAATACAGACGCCTACACTCCATCAAGTAGTTTAGTGAGTACTGTACTGCCATTCCCATTAGTAATATTCTCACTGAGTTTTTCACCTGCTTTTTAGATGTACTGCACAGATGTTTTCACCTAAGTATGAAAGGTAGGTTCTTACGAATATATTTATAGTTCTTTATTTAAATAAAACATAGATTGATTCCATTTATATAACTATCTACCTTATGCCTTAAAGCCATGCACACTCACTGTTGCAAATTTATGTACAGTAACACATTATTTTTGGGATTTGATGAGCTGTTGGAGTGAGAGTAATTAAACATTTATAAAGGAACTCAGGGAAAAGATGTTAGCCAGGCTTGAATTCTTGAATTGTTTGAAATTATCATACAGAATATGATTCAGTATTGCAGAAAGAAAAAATATTCTAACTTCAACAGCTCTTGTATGTAGTACAGGAGGGCCCCCACATTCAACATCTTCTTTTCAGTGTTCCATACTTTTGTTGGTTTTTAATCAAGCCATTATTCATTATGTTTGATGCTTTTTCCACTTTTGCGCCTTTTTCACACATTTGCTTAAGGGAAGGACGACTGGCACCACATTTTAGGGTAAATATTGTATGTTACTATGTATTTATTTTTCTTTGTAACTGTTTTTTTGCCTAGCTGTATTTAGCACTTAATATATGATAGTGTAAACATGTAATCAGGCATTTGATGCATTCGATATTGAAAAACATGCTCTTTTCCACCCACCGTCGATTTTTGCTTATTGCTGGGAACTGGGAACACACTACATTGGTACCCTGAGTTTCATACACCTCCCAACTCGAACATCTATGCAAGTGTATTATTGTAAGTGCTTTTGTAAATGTATTTTGGTGGTCTGAAAGGGACTAATCTAATTTACATCATTCCTTATGGGAACAAATTTGTTCGGTAATGACACTTGAACAGCCTTCTGGAATGAATTATGGCCGAAACTCAGGGTACCACTGTACAGTGGACCCTCGCCTAACGCTATTACTCCGTTCCTGAGAGCTCAACGTTAGGCGAAATTATCGTTAGGCGAATTATCGTTAGGCGAATTAATTTTCCCCATAAGAAATAATGGAAATCAAATTAATCCGTTCCTGACACCCAAAGTATTGAACAAAAAAAAATTTTTACCACATGAAAATTAATTTTAATACACACAAACTGAAGAAGACATGCACAGTTACATGACACTTACCTTTATTGAAGATCTAGTGATGATTGATGGGATGGGAGGAGGGGAGACTGTGGATGGTGTTAATGTTTAGAAGGGGAATCTCCTTCCATTGGGACTTGAGAGTGGCAAGTCCTTTCCCGGGTTACTTCCCTTCTTCTTTTAATGCCACTAGGACCAGCTTGAGAGTCACTGGACCTCTGTCGCATAACACATCTGTCCATAGAGGCCTGTACCTCCCGTTCCTTTATGACATTCCTAAAGTGTTTCACAACATTGTCAGTGTACAGGTTGCCAACACGGCTTGCAATAGCTGTGTGAGGGTGATTTTCATCAAAAAAGGTTTGCACTTTAAGCCACGTTGCACACATTTCCTTAATCTTTGAAGTAGGCAACTTCCTCAATTTCTCTATTCCCTCCTCCGAAGCAGTTTCCTTAGGTGTGGCCTCTTGCTGTTGAAGATGATCTAGCAGCTCATCAGTGGCTAGTTCTTCATTGTCCTCCTCCACCAACTCTTCCATATTCTCCCCACTAACCTCCAACCCCAAGGACTTCCCCAATGCCACAATGGATTCCTCAACTGGCCAGTTTCTTCCAAGCAGAGTTCAAGGTCCTCTTAGTCACTTCCTCCCAAGCCTTACCTATAATGTTTACACAATTGAGGATGCTAATGTGATCTCTCCAAAACTCTCTTAGAGTCAATTGAGTTTCTGAGGTCACTACAAAGCACCTTTCAAACATAGCTTTTGTGTACAGTTTCTTGAAGTTGGAAATGACCTGCTGGTCCATGGGCTGCAGGAGAGGAGTGGTATTAGGAGGCAAAAACTTGACCTTAATGAAGCCTATTTCCGCAGAAAGTCGCTCTGCCATGTCTGAAGGATGACCAGGAGCATTGTCTAATACCAGGAGGCACTTAAGGTATAATTTCTTTTCAATTAGGTAATTTTTCACAGTGGGGGCAAATGCATGGTGTAACCAGTCATAGAAAAAGTCCCTAGTGACCCATGCCTTACTGTTTGCCCTCCACAGCACACACAAATTAGCCTTGAGGACATTGTTTTTCCTAAACACTCTGGGAGTTTCAGAGTGATACACCAATAAAGGCTTCACTTTGCAATCACCACTAGTAAAAAAAAAAACACTAGCATTGGCATACATCAACAGAGTAAGCCTGTCTTTCATAGGCTTATGTCCTGGGAGTGCCTTTTCCTCCTGAGTAATGTAGGTCCTGCTTGGCATTTTCTTCCAACACAGGCCTGTTTCGTCACAATTAAACACTTGTTCAGGTTTCAGTCCTTCACTGTCTATGTACTCCTTGAATTCCTGCACAAATTTTTCAGCCGCTTTGTGGTCCAAACTGGCAGCCTCACCATGCCTTATCACACTATGTATGCCACTACGATTCTTAAATCTCTCAAACCAACCTTTGCTGGCCTTAAATTCACTCACATCATCACTAGTTGCAGGCATTTTTCTAATTAAATCGTCATGCAACTTCCTAGCCTTTTCACATATGATCGCTTGAGAGATGCTATCTCCTGCTATCTGTTTTTCGTTTATCCACACCAATAACAGTCTCTCAACATCTTCTATCACTTGCGATCTCTGTTTCAAAAACAAAGTTGCACTTTTGGCAAGAACAGCTTCCTTGATTGCCGTTTTCTTGGCCACAATAGTAGCGATGGTTGATTGGGGTTTTGTGTACAACCTGGCCATGTCGGAGACACACACTCTGCTTTCATACTTAGCAATGATCTCTTTCTTCATATCCATAGTAATTCTCACTCTTTTTGCTGTAGGGTTGGCACTAGAAGCTTTCATGAGGCCCATGGTGACTTATTTTGGAGGTGCAATCACTAAAAAGGCTGTGATGATATGAAATGTTCCGATTGTATGCTTGGAAGCGACCGCGGTGGCTGGCTTGTAAACACTGGCACCCACGGAACAAGTGAGGCGGGCTCAGGCCGCACGTGGACGCGTTTCGTATGAATCGCGTTGAGCGAGTTTTTTAGCAAAATTTTTGCGTTAAAATGTATCGTTAGGCGGATTTAACGTTATGCGATGAGTTCGTTAGGCAAGGGTCCACTGTATATGTGTATTACTATTATTGGATATCCTTTACTGTGTGTTTGTATGTATGTATGTATATATGTTTATATGTATGTATATGTTTTAAATCTTCTTTCCTGAACTTTAAATAATGATTACAATTTAAGATTGTTCAGCAGTTTCAAACTAGACATGTTATTAATACAGCAATTCCAAAAATAATTTTAATTATTTCCAGTGTCTCAGAGATCATGCATTGTAGTGTTAATGTTCTGAAGGATTAAAAAGTGTAAAATCCAAGCCTGAATATTTTTAAAGGGCATCGTGGGGGGCCAAAGGGACTTCCGCTTACCAAGTGGGGTTGGGATCATTTTTTTTGAAAATATCAGTAGATGAAAGTGTCTCACAAAAAGGATCTTTACATGTTTTTTTTGAAGAATTATATACCCACTGAGGGTGAGTAATGTTTTATACATTTTTTAATTTAAAAAAATAAAGCTTGTTTGATGTATGGGATGTAGAGAGAATGATTATATCTGAATGCTAAATATATCCTACATCAAATTTACACGTAGGTATTGGGGCTTTTATTCTTGAAGAGGGAAATTCCTTTTATTTTGTTTGTTCTTTTATACAGATTCTAAAAACCCTGCCCCATGAATTTAAAATGCTTTTTGAAAAGGACGGGTTACCCAAATGGAAGCGACTTTTGCATTTTATTTGGATAGTAATGTCATTATTACATTTTACAGCTTGACTTCTAAAAGTAAGTAAAAGGGTTTTATATCGTAATAAAAATTTTTTAAATTCTCTCTTCCCATTATTTTTAAATTATTATAATAAAAAAGAAGCGCTAAGCCACAAGGATTTTTAAGCGCTCCCCGGGCGGGAAAGGAAAGTGGGGGCATCAGGGGGAAAAGGGAGAGGGAAATGAGAAACAGGTTAGGGAAAAACAGGGGGGCAGGGGTGGTAAAAGGGGAAAAGGGCAGCAAGAGCGAACCAAAAAGGGGCTGGGGGGAAGTGCGAAAAAGGTATCATCAGAGTTTGGGGGAGAAAAAACGGACGTTTTTCAAAAATTTCAATGAGAGGGTCAGGTTTAAAAGGGGAAGGGCCATCACCCAAAAAGGGGAAAGGGTTTTAAAGAGAGAGTAGTAGAACAAAAGACAAAGTTGGGGGAAAATTTTCGGCGGCTCTTTTGATAGAGGGGGAAAGTCAAAACAAATGGGGCTAATCGATACTGGAACTTGACCTGCTCACAGGGGGAAAACAGGGTGCCTTCCATGAGATACCCATGAGTAAGACGGTGTGGCCAAGCGAAGGCGGGAGGAGGGGTCTCCCAATTTCCGGCACTGATGAAAGAAGAGGGCCCAAAAAAACCCTAGCTCGGTTTAATAGAATGAAGTTTGTTACCGAGCAAGTTGACCAACGTTGTTGCCAACGGGTGCGAAGGTGGGTAGCTATTGCAGAAAAATAGTCCAGAAATGGAAACACCTCGATAGGAAATTGGTAGGTCATATACTGCTGACCGCGCAGCAGTTTTCCGCCTTTTTAAATTGGGCCCTTTTCGTCGCCCATAACCAGGGACCCAAAAAAAACCCCCTATCTTTATGTTTGGTAAAGATACGGCGTAGCCAAAGTTGGTTACGGGGAAACAAAGGGGTTTGAGATGTATCAAATTTTTCGATAGCCTGTAGAGCATTTGGGGATCTGGGACTACTAAAAATTTGAGACCCAGGCATAGATGCAATACGAATAAGGCTGAAAGGAAGGGGCATACGTTCGCAAAAAAATTTCTAGCGGGAAGATAGTAAATGCCCTCGTAGGGACCCCTTCCGGAAACACTGCTGCAAAACCCGACCCCGTCTGAAGTTTTAGGGGCCATCTGTGTACAAGCGGTGGCATGAAAAATGGGAGGGGAATGTCAAGAAAAAAAGAGCGGGAACCCCACCGTGGGCAGTTGGTTTTTGGGGGCAAAGGGAGTGAGAAAGAACAGACCCGAACAGGGGAACTTCCCAGGGGGCAGGGAAAAGGAGATCCCAACATGAACATAAAAAAGGTGGTAATTGAAGGGAAGAAAAGAGTGAATGTAGGCAAAAAGGGGGAAAAAGGGACGGAGAAAACGGGGGCGCGAAGAAAAAAGAATGTCTCTAAATATCGGTGACCATTCAAAATAAATGGAAAGGTTTGTGTAAAATGTAAAAGAGCGTCCCAAAATTAACGAAGGCAATGGGCCCCCCGGGGGGCGAAAGAAAAGGGAGGGGAACCCTTTTGGCTTCGGGTATAGAGGCCCCCAACAGGGGAAGAGCAAAAAAGCACCAAGGCAAAAGGGAAGCCTTGGGATGGATAGATTAAAGGCTAGGGGAGAGAAAGCGGGAGAGGCCGCGGAAAAAATTTGGGTACCATAATCGATTTTCCCGATAAAACAAAGGGCTAAATTTTGTAGGCAAAGCAGAGTTCGACGATCAGCTCCCAGGAAAGTTTGGAAAGGGGGGTTTTTTAAAAAGGGGTTTAGCCGGCTTAAACAATTTTGGCCTTCAGAGAGAAATTTGGGGTTTTCCCCGGGTTTAAACCCGACGGTCAAAGAAAAGGGCCCAAAAAACCGTGTATCCTTTTCGGGGAAAGGGACCCCATAGAGATACAAAGGTTGATCGGGAAACAAGCGTTTAGGGGAAAGAAATTTTGGGGTGGGGGTTTTGGTACTTAAAAATTTTAAAACCCCATGTGGGGTTTTGGGGCCCAAGGGGAAAACAGGGCCCCTACCGCATGCTGGAGAAAACTGCAAAAAGGTGACAGTCACGCCTGAAAAAGGGGCAAAGCGAAGTCATCAAATAAAATTTTGGGGACCAAAAATTGGGTGGAAGAACAGAGGCCAAATCATTTAAAAACAAGGAAAAAAAAGTTTTTGTGCTTAAAACCCACCCCCTGGGGACCCTCAGTTTGGCAAAGCCCGGGGGAAAAAAACCCTTATTAAACTCGAACAGGGGAAAATGGTCTGTCAGTTAAAAAGTTCTTAAGGGGAAGGAGGGTTAAGATTGCCTCGGGGGCCCCTAAGGAAGGGGCCCTTTGGGCCCAAAATTTTAATACTCCAATTTTGTGCATATCCCCTTCTCAAGGAAAAAAAAATTTTGGCAAAAACTGATGTTTATTCGCAAAGGCATTACGAACTACGTATCCAGCGTAGAAAAGGGGTTTCATGGTAGAACCCCCCTTCCGAAAGCCAAAAGGGAAAAATTAGGGAGAGACTGTTTTTTTGGGGCCTAAATACCACATTAAACGATCAAATTTACGGGGCGTTCCATCACTTTGCAAACTGCACTTGTAAAAAGCGAGGGGGCGATAGTGGGGAGGCATCATTTTCCGTAGTCCCCGGTTTCCCGGAAAGGGAGAACAATGGGGGGTTTTCCCACGGGTTTTGGGGAAGGAACAATTGGGGCCTTTTAAAGGGGGTTTTGGGTTAAGGGGTTTTGGAAAGGGGAGGACTAAAAGGGGGCTGCCCGGGGGGTAAATGTTTGGGAACAGACGAATGGGGGTTTGGTCACCCCAGGCCCAGCGGGGCCGGGGGATGTTGGGGGGAAAGGGCTTGAGGGGTTTTTGGGGTTTCCTTCCCTTAAAGGGGTTGAAAAAAGGCCCCTTTATACTGTTCAATTTTTCCGGGGAGAAAGAAAAGCCCCAAGGGGACTAACTTCGGGGCAGATTTTGGGAGGAAAGAAAAGAGGGGGCCTAGATGGGCCCCTTTTCGGGAAATACGGACCAGATTTTGTGCCAATTTCAATGGCAAAGGGGTTGAGTGGGGGGGGGTTTGGGGGGCTATATTCTAAAACCAAGGGGGTGAAGGGGTAGAAAGGGGGCCGGGTCAGGAGAGTATTTTCCATCAATTTCCCCCATTTTTTTTCCAGACGGGCACTCTAAAAGAAGCAAGGTGGATGGGGGAAAACCCTAGTCTCCCCAACAAGTGCGTTTAGCTTCCCGGGGGGACATTGGGGGGAGTGGGGATCGCACGCTTCTGTTTAAAAAATAAAACCAAGTCTCTCACCGGTTCTATTTTGTAACCGGAAACCTCCCCCATGCAGCACGTTTCAAACGAACTGCACGACCCACAAGCAGGGGATACCAAAGGGCACGCACTTCGGGAGAAGGGCCTGCCGGGTTTTTTGGGGAATAAAAATGAAAAAGGGGGGCGGGCGGTATAAAACGGGGAGGGGTTGGGGGGGGAAAAGGGATGGTAGGAGTCATCAATGGGGGGGATGAAAAAAGGGAAACCTCACTAAAAAGCAGTAGGTGTGAGAAAAAGGATCCCAATTTTCCCGATAAAAATTGCCAGCGGGGTTTTAGGGAAGGGGGGGGAATAGGAAGGAGAATAAGAATGATGGGAAAAATAAACGCTGTCATTTTAATTTGGGTAGAACAACCAGGTGAAGTTATTTGCAGGGGAGGAAGAGAAACTAAATTAGATCGATCCCAAAAAGGGAAATGGGGCCCCGGAGGTCAAAATGGGGTGAGGGGTCCGTTTAAACAGGGGGAGGGGGGGGGGAGGGGGGGGAAGGGAAAAGCCTCCCCGGGGAAGCCACGTAAAAGTCAAAATGAGCCCCCCCCCAGGGGAAAATGGGGGGCCCTTTAAAAATAAACCAAGAAAACAAAAGTGGGGGGTGGAAAGGATGAAACAAGAAAGGAAAAGTCTGGGATAAGAAAATGCCGAGAAGGAGAGAGTTAAAGAACAAAAGGGAAAACCCCACTTATTAAAAGTGGATACGGGCTGCATGAAAGGGCAGCGGGAAATGGAAAAAATGTTGGAACATAGGGAAATTTATCTTTTTTTGGGGCGAGAAAAAGGGCACTTTCCCAAAAAGGCCCTTCTGAAAAAGGGATCCGAAAATACAAAAAAAATTAAGCCTAATAGGTTGGAAAAACCCAACCCCCGAGGAAATTTTGGTTCTTTGAAGAAAGGGCCCCAAACGGGGAAAAAACCGGGGAAAAAAAAGCAACATCTAAAGCTCCCCCCCATTACCCCGAGGCCGCGGATATTTCCCAATGAAAATTTGGGGCCATGATTGGCGGAAGAAAAATATCAGAATCTGTAGGGTAAGGCCCCTAGGGGACAAGGGGTTTAGAAAAGTCAACGGTTTGGTGGCATTGGAAAGATGTTAAAGTAGCGAAGGAACGGAGCGTTGGAAAAAAGGGGGTTTGTAAAGAGGGGGGGGAAGGGGGAAAAGAGAAACGGGGGAAGGGGAATCAGTGTCCATTGAAGGGTTTGGGTCTCTGCAAATATATTCTGAAATGGTTTTCAAGTGTTTCAAATTTTAAAATTTTTGAAAGGAGGGGAAAGGGGGCCCCATATTGGAAAGGAAGGGGGGGGGGGGAGGGTGAGTAAAGTTTGGGGGGACCCGGGTTAATTTGGACTGTAAAAAAGGGTGGGGAGGGGGGGGGGGGGAAAAGTTTTTGGGGGGGGAAACGGGGGGGGGGGAGGGGGAAGTTGGGGGGGGGGGGGGCCCGAAAAGGGGGGTAGAAACCGGGGGAGGTGGGGGGAAGAGGGAAAAAATTGGGAGGGACCGGGGGGGGAAGGCATGTAGAGGAGGAGGGTAAATTTCCCCAAACACTGGGTTAATGGGAGCCAAAAGAGGGGGGAAAAAGAACTAGGAAAAGAGACGGGAAAAAGGTAACGTTTGGAGGTGGAAAAAGGGGAAAGGAAAAGGGGCCCAAAGAAAAATTTGAGCAATGGGGATTTTTTGGACTTCTGGTGGGGGGGGCAAATTGGTTTAGGTGTTTACGAGGTCTTGCGATACTGGGGCTTGTGAGGAAGGACGCGAAGAAGTGAAAAACAACTGATTTGGGTAGTGGGGGAATTTTCAGACCCAAAGGGAAACAGCAAAAGGATTAGATGCCTTGTGGCTATGGGGGGGAACAACAGAGGGGGTGCGGGAAGATGGGCCCCCAGAAGGGGGGGACGTTTGGAAACCGGAATAAAAAACGGGGGGTAGTCCCCCCGGGGGAAGGCGGAGATGAGTAACTGCCAAACCCTTTAAGGGAGACCTTCTCCTCTTTGAGGCAACGGATTTTCACTTTCATTTAAAAGACCGGGGAAAGGGCGGGGAGTACGAAGGGGAGCTTCATTAAAATTTAAGGCAAGATGGAGGTTGACGAAGGGAAGTTTAGAATGGTTGTCGGCCCCACGGGACTGGGCATTCCGGGGCCCTAGATCTGCAAATTTCGCTGGGTGCCAAAACGCCAGCCCCCAAATTTTTTCATTGTTGGGGGTGTAGGTATCACCTTTTGAACTTGTAAAACCCATGTCCCCGACATATTTCGAGGACGGGGGTTTTCCCGGGTGTCAAAAATTAAAAGAGCCACATTGCAAAAGGGGAACGTCTGCCCCCCCGGGAGGAAGGGACATAAGTGTTAAAATTTGAGGATTGGGAGATCCTGGAGTTCCCCTGTTCAAAAATTCATTTTCCACATGGGTGGAAATTTTTGTTTGGGCATGGTATGGGGCAGAATACAGTACCACTACAAGAAAATTTAGAGAAAAAATGTTTTTCAATAGTGATAGGGGTTTGTATCGATATTCGAAAGGAGAGGGAAAAATCTTTAGCTTTGGGTAGCATTCTGGACAGTGAGATGGGTTTTTTAACCCTCTTGAAGCGGGGAAATGAAATATCTCTGCCCAAAATGAAAGCAGGGGGCGCTTGGCAATACTAAAGGTCAGAAAGGTAGGGGAGAAGGGAAAAAGTTGGTTCCTTTAAAATAAAAAATTTAGTCCATTTTGTTGGGCCCCAAACTGAGCGTTTAGAGGGAAATGCTGACTTTCCCGGGGTTTTCCCAAATAGAATTTGGGAAAAGGGAATTTACGGGCATCATCAGGAGATTGACGTTGGCCCTTTAGGAATAGGGGCCGGAGTTGGTCCCCGGGAGGAAATGGGTTGGGGGATTCCCAAAAAATTTCCCTACCGTAAAGGGGGAAGGCCCGGGAAACATAGTCCCAAAAAAAGCGGGGGGTTCAGACAAATGAAGGAGTCATCCCAAGCCCCGGGATGAAACGGGTTTAGGGGAAAAAAACACCAGCAAAAGGTACAGGGGGCCCTCAGGAGTGTCCGAAAAGTGGTTTTAAACACAAGGCAGGGTCCCGAAAAGGGGTTTCGGGTTTTCAAAAAGGGGCCCGGGGGGATTTGGTTTTTAGGGGCTAGGGCTGCCATGGTTAGGTTTTCCCTTTGCTTTTTGTTTTTTAAAAAAAAAAAAAAAAGAAGAAAAGAAAATAAAAATAAAAAAAAGAAAAAAAAAAGGGGGGGGGGGGGGAGGAAAAGGTTTCCCCGGGGGAATGAAGGGGCCCGGGAAACCCCCTCCCCGCCCCCGAGGACTGACACCCCTAGTAGCGCAGATGCCCGCCTGGAACCCCTGCCCTACCCTACCCTTCATGCCCGTAAAACCCGCAATCTGGGGGAAACAACCCCAATTTTGCCGACTTTCCTCGGTGGACAAAAGAGAGGGGGCCGGGTTTCCCCCAAAAACCCAAACCCCCCCTTCAGCCAAAACCCCCGGAATGAAAGGTGGGGTTCCAGAGATACCCCGTCGCCCAAAAGGGCACCCAAAACTACTCCGGGTTTCCGGGGGAGGGATCGGGCCCTCCCCAGGGCCCCTCAGTTCCACGGCAAACTACGCCACCGCCAAGAAACCTCAACGGGAAAGGGGGTGGGGCCCCCGGTTTTCCTTTCCCCTTTTCCCAGGAAAATTGTGGGGCCTGTGGGAGAAATCCGAAGGCCCAAAAAGAGGGAAAGGGGAAAAGGGGGGGGTGAGGAGGGGGAGGAGGAATGGAAAAAGGGGAGGATGGGGAAGGATTTGGGTAGGGGAGGGGAGAAATTGGGGGGGTTAAATTTGGTTTTGGGCTGATCTCTCTTTTCCAAAACTCTTTATTATGATAACAGTTGAATGCCCAATTTTCCCCTAGGGTTTGGTTTTTTTGAGGTCCCATGAACAAAAACTTCTCAATGTTACAATATCCCTTCTGTTTGTAAAACATTTTTTTTTCAGATTTAAACCATTTTTTTCTTTTTAAAAATGATAAATTTTTTTAAATTTTAAATCTGTTTATTAATTTTTCAAAAAAAAGTCCAGGAAGGAAAAAAAAAAAAAGGCACAAAAAATAATTGGGCACTTTTTAACGAAACCTATGAATTTGTTTTCATTTTTAGGGGGCATATTTTAAGCCCAAAAAAAGGGCCCCTCTGAAACTCTTTAATAATTAATAGGGGGGAACCCAAAACAGGCATAATTCATTAAAACTTCGTCAATTTTTGAATGCTTCCTAATGCAGGCCCTTTTTAGTTATAGCCTGTTTTTTTACATTTTTGGGCTTTTGCCTTTCTTTAAGATGGTTTCAGCAAATTTTTAATTTTTTTTTTTTTTATTTTTTTTTGTTTTTCCCTCTTTTTTGTTTTAAACCCACTGGTTGTGCATTTAAAAACATGATATTTTAAAACCCTGTTTTTTTGATTTTTTTTTTTGGACTGGAAAATGAAAAAAAAAAACCCTAAACCGCCCTATCAGTAAAGGGAGGGCCCGCATGAAGTTTTTGGGATTTTTTGAGAAATGCTTTGTCCACCATGGAAATGTTTGGATGTGCAAAGTGTTCTATTTTTATACTTGTCAGTTTATCTTACCTATTGAAATTTTAAAAAATGTTCCCCAAAAAGCACTGCAGGGAAAACACTGGATATATAATCAAAGCAAAAAAACCCTTGGGGGGTCATGGGTTTGGGAGTTTGAAAAATTTTAGTATCACCAAAAATTGGGTAATTTTTGCTTTTAGTCGTATTCAAACATGCAGCATTTTTATGGGGGGTATTTTTTATTAATTTCTACTAGAAATTTTAAAATCAATAAGGAACTATATGGTAATTCTGTTTCTAAAAGCTAGATTATTTTTTAAAAAAATATTTTATTATGTTTAAAATTTTTAATATTGTTTTAGTAAATTTTTATGGTATAGGTGATTTGTTACTGTAATAAGTCAATCAGTTTTCTCAAAACACTCTGCTAATGTTACCAAAATACACTAAGACGATGGCAGTGTTAGGGGTATTACCAGTATAATTTTTTCCCATATTTTTTTGGAGTGTATTTTTTTTTTTTTTCAAAAGGGCCCTACCCCAGTGCTCTTGGTCTTGGTGTGCAGGAATGTATACTGTAAACAGATGATTTACTAGGCAAAAAGTTATCTAACACTGTTACTAGTTGTATAGATATTATATCAACTGTTTGCTATTTCTTACACAAATGGTAGTTTTTCTTACTTTGAAATGATAATTTTTAACCTTCATTTGCAAATGCAATACATTGCTTGTAGTGTTGTGCATCTTATTCCTGTGTCCGAGGTAGCCATAATTTCTTGTAATTTTTTTTACATTCTCCATGGGGAAGTGGAGAAGAATACTTCCTCTGTAAGCCATGCATGTTGTAAACAGCAACTAAAATGCCAGGAGAAAGAGGCTAGTAACCCCCTTCTCCTGTATAAATTACTGAATGTAAAAAGAAGAAAAACTTCTGTTTCTTCTTTTGCAGGTCACCTGCCTTGGTGGGAGATGGCCATGAGTTAAAATAAAAATTCTTACATCCTTTAATGTCAATTGTCCATGATAATAGGGAATTATGATAATTATAATGATGATAATTATCTCTCAAATATAAAACTGGGAACCTATTTTACCATTGCCTCTTCTGAAACTAGTCAAACAATCTTAGTAGCATAATAATTTTTATTTCTAGTACTTATCAGATTTTGGTGAGCTTAGCTGGTACAGTAATGGTTAGTTTATATGATTCAAATTACATAAGGAGTGCACTCAAGGACTACAGTTACTCAGTTACTTTGTTTGCAGGTCCTAGACAACAAAACTTTACTTGACTTGGATCCAGTAAAAGTAACTGAACTACTTGATAAACATCCATATATTGGCACGTCATCAGTAAAGGATATTATTGTGAATTTTCCCTCTTTCCTCTCAATACCAATTACAAACATTGACATATGGAATAATATGCTTAAGAAGTATGGAGGTAAGAAATTACTTTGTTGTATGTAATGAATGTATATATGCTAATTTTGTTATCTCTCATTTATTATAGTATGACACAAGATGTATTCTGTCTGAACAAAAGAATTCCCAGATGTCTTCTTCATATTCCAGAATGGCCATATATTTGATTTCATATTTTTTTCCCAGCAGTTGGAAGCATCAACAACTACATTAATCTGTTTTCTTTTGTTAACAGTCACAGCATTCAAGTTTAATAAAGAAGCATTGGTGTTTTTTAAAAGTCATGCCTTTAAGGATGTTGAAGAAAGATTAAATGTGCTAGTGAGACTTCCAGAATGGCAGGTATGTGGAGGCTCCTACTAAAGGACTTAAATTTTTTTTTACAAGTCTTTTTCCACCCAGGTTGGGTACCAAAACCATGGAAATAGTCACCATCATTCATTCAGTATCTCCTTTTATTGTAGCTGATTTTTACAGTGTTGAGTTATTTAGCTGTTTTAACTGCTAAGGTTTAAATAATAAGAAATTACAAGGACCCCAATGGAAATAAATCACTTTGACTTTTTTGGGTTATCCTAGGTAATATAAACATATGTTACTGTCTATGATAATTTGTGTAATCGGTATTTATGTGTACCTGCACCTAAATTCATAACCTTACTTGCCAGAAGGGCACAGATATCACCATTCAAATAACCCTCTGGACTGCAGCATCCCGCTCATCTAATTCATAGAAATTATGCGCAACATGTTGGTTGAGTCAGGAACAAGGGGCTAGTAACTCCTGTATGTTACTAAATTTAAGAAGAGAAACTTTCGTTTTTCTTTTTGGATCATTCTGCCTCAGTAGGATGCGACTGGTGCATTGAAAGATGTTAGTTGAGTCCTGGATACAGGAGATAGTGGCTGCATTCTGAAGGATACCTTTGATGAGTTTCGAGCGTTTCTACTCCTGGAGCTTGGCCATGGGCCAGGCTCATCTGGTGCTCGCCTGATCAACCAGGCTGTTGCTGTTGGAGGCTGGGGTGAGGATGTTATAATTTGGAGTATCATTTGAATTGTGATGTCTGTGTACTTATGGCAAAACAGCTATTGAATAAATGATGGTGAATATTTATTTATTTTTTTTTTTTTTGTTGGGGGGGGGGGTCACCCTACCCTAGTGGGAGATGGCCAGTGTGGTAAAAAAAAAAAATCACTTGGTCCTCATCACTGCTTAGTGTCTTACAAAACACTTTGCAACCAAATTTTCAAATTAGTCCTTGAAATGTTTTAACATTATTTATGCTAGGATATACTGTACTGTATATGATAATCACTAATACATTATGAAAACTCTGATTTTATTGTGATCTTACTTGCAAAGGGCTTCCTATTTACTATGCAGTTAAAATAATATTCACCTTACATTTAACACAATACTTACAAAAGTTTATAAACACAGGTTAGGCAAGGCTTTTTTCTCATTTCAGTATTTCTAATGTGCCTCTATTACAGTGATCCATCTACCTGAGAACTATCAACTTATGCACTAAAGTCTTAAGTATATGATTAGAACTCCAGCAAGATACAAATGTAATTTTTTTTATAGAGAAGGTTTTATGTAATGTAATCAAATATTATTTTATTTTCAACCAGTCACACCATCTCTGAAGGATCAGAAATTGCTATTTTAGCTTAATATTTGCACATTATATTTTTTATTTAATACACTTAGTATGTGGAAGAGGTCTCTTACATGATAAGAAATATGAGAGAGTGTCCTGTAACTGGATTGCTAGCACACTCAGCTCATGCACTGAGGTCCGGGGGTCGATCCCCGGTATGGGTGGAAACATCAGGATGTGTTTCCTTAAGACACCTGCTGTCCATGTTCACCTATCAGTAAAATAGGTACCTGGGTATTAGTCGACTAGTGTGGGTCACATCCTTGGGACAAAATTGACCTAATTTGCCTGAAATGCTATGCATAACAAGGGGCTTTCTATATAATAGTGTGTCATTAATGTCAGTTAGGCTTGTATACCTTGTAGAAATAAAAATTATTATTATTATTATTATTAACTCAGGGTTATACCTATGCTATGTAAAGATAAATTTGTCATAATTTTATTCTGTGAAAATTAATACACCTGTCTATTTTTATGAGTATAGTGAACCTCTCTTAACCCTTTCAGGGTCCGTCCCGTAGATCTACGGCTTTATGTTCAGGGTCCAAACCGTAGATCTACGCCATGAGCTCGGCTCTCACTGATAAACTGTGAGTGGTAAATTTGGGCCTAGATATGAGAGAATACATCTATGTGGTATGTGTGCACCACATAAAACAAATCCTGCAGCACACTGTGTATAATGAGAGAAAAAAACTGAGACCGTGATTTTCGATTAAAACAGCAACTTTGCAGTGTTTTTTTGTATGTTTTCTTATAGTTGTATTTGTGATTTCTTGGTCTCATTTGATAGAATGGAAGACATATTACAGAAATAGAGATGATTTTGATTGGTTTTAGCACTGGAAATGGCTTGAAACTGAGCTCAAAGTAGTGGAAATGTTAAATTTTTGCCGATGTTCAAGAGTAAACAAACGACCTCACATGTCTAATACACGTCAGCTGGTGGGTCTAATATACATTCACAAATGTGATGATATTTATACAATTATTACAATATTGCAGAACAGTAAATCTTCTATTTTTTGGTGTGAATAAAAATTCATTATGTGAATAAAAAATCAAAATGAATTTATTTGTAAAGCATCAAAACCTAACTAATGAACAGAGGAAATGTTAGTTTAGTGCCAGGAATACCTACATTGTTTATTCTGGACCCTGTTTTGAAACTGGAATATTTTGAACTTTGTGTTAAATTGGCCAAATTACGAATTTCCGATCACTTTATTTTCTAGTTGAAACAGTTGACTTGGCGATTTCTTGTGCTCAATCGATAGAATAGAAGTAATACTAGTGAAATAGCTAAGAATTTGGTTGACTAGAATAATGTAATTGGCCTAAAATGGGAGTAAAAATCGGCAAAATCGCCGATTCGTAAATATCGCTGACACATCAAAATTCGCAAGAGCATAATTTCGTCAATTTTCTATCAAATTTCGTACTCTTTGTTTTATTACCTTCACAAAAAGATTCTCTACCATTTCATAAGAAAAAATAATTTTTTTTTTTTTTTTGAAAACTCTTGGACACTGGGGCACCACTTCAGATTTTGGCCTTGGACCCTGAAAGGGTTAAGTGGAAAAGAATCTTTCTTGTGTAAGCCATGCTTGTCATAAAAGGCAACTAAAATGCTGGGGTCAAGGGGCTACATGTCAAAAGAAAACATATCGTTTTACTTTTTAGGTCACCCTCTCCAGGCATACCCTGTCTCAGTGGGAGATAGTAAGTGCTTTAAAAAAATGAACCTGTCTTCATCAGTATAAGCTAAAACTTGTGATTCATGTATGTAAACCAACATGGAATATTTATTTGGAACCATTAAGAGCTGTATTCTGTATTATTGAGTTACAATATAAACCTTACATATTTTTTTTCTTTCTTTCAACACACCAGCCGTATCCCACCGAGGCGGGGTGGCCCAAAAGGAAAAATGAAAGTTTCTCCTTTTACATTTAGTAATATATACAGGAGAAGGGGTTACTAGCCCCTTGCTCCTGGCATTTTAGTCGCCTCTTACAACACGCATGGCTTATGGAGGAAGAGTTCTGTTCCACTTCCCCATGGAGGTAAGAGGAAATAAACAAGAACAAGGGTTGGAGAGAGGGGGTAAAGGAGGTTTTTGTGGGTAAGGGGCTTGGACTTCCAGCAAGCGTGCGTGAGCGTGTTAGATAGGAGTGAATGGAGACGAATGGTACTTGGGACCTGACGATCTGTTGGAGTGTGAGCAGGGTAATATTTAGTGAAGGGATTCAGGGAAACCGGTTATTTTCATATAGTCGGACTTGAGTCCTGGAAATGGGAAGTACAATGCCTGCACTTTAAAGGAGGGGTTTGGGATATTGGCAGTTTGGAGGGATATGTTGTGTATCTTTATATGTGTATGCTTCTAGACTGTTGTATTCTGAGCACCTCTGCAAAAACAGTGATAATGTGCAAGTGTGGTGAAAGTGTTGAATGATGATGAAAGTATTTTCTTTTTGGGGATTTTCTTTCTTTTTTGGGTCACCCTGCCTCGGTGGGAGACGGCCGACTTGTTGAAAAAAAAAAAAAAAAAAAAAAAAGAACTAGTAAGAAAATAGAAGAAAACCCAGCGGGGTGTGTATATATATATGCTTGTACATGTATATGGATGTGAAGCTTGGGTGGTAAATGCAGCAGCGAGGAGACGGTTGGAGGCAGTGGAGATGTCCTGTCTAAGGGCAATGTGTGGTGTAAATATTATGCAGAAAATTCGGAGTGTGGAAATTAGGAGAAGGTGTGGAGTTAATAAAAGCATTAGTCAGGGGGCAGAAGAGGGGTTGTTGAGGTGGTTTGGTCATTTAGAGAGAATGGATCAAAGTGGAATGACATGGAAAGCATATAAATCTATAGGGGAAGGAAAGAGGGGTGGGGGTCGTCCTCGAAAGGGTTGGAAAGAGGGGGTAAAGGAGGTTTTGTGGGCGAGGGGCTTGGACTTCCAGCAAGCGTGCATGAGCGTGTTGGATAGGTGTGAATGGAGACGAATGATACTTGGGACCTGACGATCTGTTGGAGTGTGAGCAGGGTAATGTTTAGTGAAGGGATTCATGGAAACCGGTTATTTTCATATAGTCGGACTTGAGTCCTGGAAATGGGAAGTACAATGCCTGCACTTTAAAGGAGTGGTTTGGGATATTGGCAGTTTGGAGGGATATGTTGTTTATCTTTATACGTATATGCTTCTAAGCTGTTGTATTCTGAGCACCTCTGCAAAAGCAGTGATAATGTGTGAGTGTGGTGAAAGTGTTGAATGATGATGAAAGTATTTTCTTTTTGGGGATTTTCTTTCTTTTTTGGGTCACCTTGCCTCGGTGGGAGACGACCGACTTGTTGAAAAAAAAAAAAAAAAAAAAAAACATGTATGTGTAGTGTGACCTAAGTGTAAGTAGAAGTAGCAAGGCGTACCTGAAACCTTGCATGTTTATGAGACAGAAAAATGGACACCAGCAATCCTACCATCATGTAAAACAATTACAGGCTTTCGTTTTACACTCACTTGGCAGGACGGTAGTACTTCCCTGGGTGGTTGCTGTCTACCAACCTACTACCTAGGATACCTTACATATACAGTATAAATATAATGCCTCTTTCTGAAAGATGATTGTAGCATTTATTTATTTATTTATTTTTTTAACAAGTCGGCCTTCTCCCACCGAGGCAGGGTGACCCAAAAAGAAAGAAAATCCCCAAAAAGAAAATACTTTCATCATCATTCAACACTTTCACCTCACTCACACATAATCATTGTTTTTGCAGAGGTGCTCAGAATACAACAGTTTAGAAGCATACACATATAAAGATACACAACATATCCCTCCAAACTGCCAATATCCCAAACCCGTCCTTTAAAGTGCAGGCATTGTACTTCCCATTTCCAGGACTCAAGTCCGGCTATATAAAAATAACCGGTTTCCCTGAATCCCTTCACTAAATATTACCCTGCTCACACTCCAACAGCTCGTCAGGTCCTAAAGACCATTCGTCTCCATTCACTCCTATCTGACGCGCTCACGCACACTTGCTGGAAGTCCAAGCCCCTCGCCCAGAAAACCTCCTTTACCCCCTCCCTCCAACCTTTTTGAGGACAACCCCTACCCCGCCTTCCTTCCCCTACAGATTTATACGCCCTCCATATCATTCTACTTTGATCCATTCTCTCTAAATGACCAAACCACCTCAACAACCCCTCTTCAGCCCTCTGATTAATACTTTTATTAACTCCACACCTTCTCCTAATTTCCACACTCTGAATTTTCTGCATAATATTTACACAACACATTACTCTTAGACAGGACATCTCCACTGCCTCCAACTGCCTCCTCGCTGCAGCATTTACAACCCAAACTTCACACCCATATAAGAGTGTTGGTAGTACTACTATAGTTTCATATATTCCCTTCTTTGCCTCCATAGATAATGTTTTTTGTCTCCACTTATACCTCAACGCACCACTTGCCCTTTTTCCTTCATCAATTCTATGATTAACCTCATCCTTCATAAATCTATTCTCTAACACGTTCAACTCCCAAATATCTGAAAACATTCACTTCTTTCATACTCCTCCTCCCCAATTTGATATCCAATTTTTCTTTATCTAAATCATTTGATACCCTCATCACCTTACTCTTTTCTATGTTCACTTTCAACTTTCTACCTTTACACACACTCCCAAACTTGTCCACTAACCTTTGCAATTTTTCTTTAGAATCTTCCCTAAGCACAGTATCATAAGCAAAAAGTAACTGTGTCAGTTCCCATTTTGTATTTGATTCCCCATAATTTATTTATCTGTTTCTAATACCTGTTGAGAAATTGGGAGTATTGTGTCTTTTAATATAAACTGAGCGTAAATTAATAAATGCATTGTTTATTCCTGTCAGATCATTTCCATGTCTGAAAAGTTATTTTATGCTATCCGAGGCCGTGCATTTGTCAAGCATGCATTGAATGCTGCAGAGTCTGGAAAACTACCCAGTGTATCATCACTTACTCTGGTAAATATTAAATGTTACTTGTAATGAACCCAAATAGCTTACTACCTAATAAAGTACACTACTGTATAGCAATTCCAAAGTGTATAAGATTGGTGTCCAGTGTTGAGGCATCAGATTGCAACACTCCTTCCTCATTTTCAGAGTGCAAAACTCAAGTCTGACCGGCCAATTTCCTTGAATCCCTTAACCCTTAAACGGTCCAAATGTATATACTATACGTTTTTTCAACATTTGAAAGTATGTAAAAAAATGTACATCATCTTTTTTTTTTTTTGCATTTGAAAATGTGTAAAAAAACTTTTATCTACTTTTTTTTTTTTTTTATATTTGAAAATATGTAAAAAAACAGATCTACTTTTGGAGCACTACGGATTTGAACGTCGATCTATTTGGACCATTTAAGGGTTAACAGATATTACATTGCTCACAATTATTTTCAATGCTATTTCTAATTATTCTTTGCTTTACTACTGAACCCCCTTTCATCCCATCTCCAATTTATTGATCCTCTTCATTCACCTTTTATACTCTTTCTATATGATCAAATCATCTCATCAAATCTACTTTTTGTGTTATTCCTTTTATACCCTTGGTGAAAAACAAGAGGATTTTTATGGGCAAAAAAACTTTTTCTCACAAAATGGAAAATGGTCATGATGACACTATTTGTTGGATCAATTGCTCCCCATAACCATGAAAAAATCTGGTATATACAGCTTTCATGGAAGGATATGGGAATTTTTATAAGATAAATGTACCGTAAAAGACAGGGAAGAATCAGACGAGAGAAAACAGCCTTATATCATGCTAAAATGGTCCTTTTTTGTGTTTTCAAGTGCTTATTCTTAAGTAGCATCAAAAATAGTTCAAATGGGGTGTTTCTTTTTTTGGTTATGTTTAGTTATTTTTCATAATTTATGGTTATTTTTCCTAATTTTTAGTTATTTCTCATATTTTTTGGTAATTTTTTGTTGTTTTTAATAACTTTCAGTTATTTTTCACAATTTTTAGTTATTTTTCATGATTTTTAGTTAATTTCTCTAATATATTTATTTGTTTATTTATTTATTTTATGTCTTTGCAAACAGTACATTAAGATTTTATATTTACAATAGTGGGTTGCAATACAAAGGGAGCCTCTGTTATGCCTAGGCATTATGGGCCAACTTAACATTATTGGCTTACAGACTACTTAACACTAAGGATTTTATCATAGTTGTACAGTAGGACAGTAATTATTTCATAGTTGAACAGTAGATTATTAATTATAAGTGAATTAAATTTGTATAAGACAAAGGATATATTCATATAGTCTAAAATGCTTTTTGTGAAAACAGTGGTTCAATATAGTCTTAATGAAAATATTAGCTTCCTCTGTTAGGCATTACAGGGAAAGGAGGGCCTTATATGATGCTAAAATGATCTGATTTTACAGTTTTAAGTGTATATTCTGAATCAGCATAGAAAATAGTACCCCTGGTGTGGTTTTAAGGAATTTTGAAAATGCAGCTGAGAATGGCGATTTTTGGGGTGAAAAACCTTTCTCTCTCAGTATGGAAAATGGTCATGATGACACTGTTTGTTGGATCAATTGCTCCCCACAAACATGAAAAAATATGGTATATACAGCTTTCATGGAAGGTTATGAGTTATATTTTCATGTGTATTTTATTAAAGTTTTCAGTTCTGCAATATTTATGTTCCACATTGATGCTGATTGTCAGAATATTAAGAGGTAACAGATTAACAGAGGAAATAGACATGAGGATAACTTAGAAGAAATATTTGCTTCCCTAAATGTTTGTTGCTCACCTGAAATTATTACAAAATGGTAATTTTATTTTGCTCTTTCAGTGTTAATGTAAAGTATATGGAATCTTAATTTTTCAGGGTGTAGAAAGAAAGACAAGTGTTCGTCAGACCTTAATTTCTCAGGAGTTGTCAGCCTATGTGGCGCAAGAGCTGAATATCCAACAAGAAGAGGTATGGTGGTAGTGATTTAACCTAATTTGAGAGTTGTCACAGTGTTGGTTATCTAAATTTGTGTAAATCCACCATTAATAATTTTTATCAGGAGGGAACACCAAACTCATAGGGAATGGGGGTTCCTTGGATCAAGAGCCTCTCACTGATAGGATAATCCTTCCAAAAAGCACATACAGTGGTACCTCGAGTTATGAAATTAATTCGTTCCAGAAGGCTGTTCGAGTGCCGATACCGAACGAATTTGTTCCCATAAGGAATAATGTAAATTAGATTAGGCCGTTTCAGACCCCCAAAAATACACTTACAAAAGCACTTACAAAAATACACTTACATAATTGTTCGAGTTAGGAGCTGTTCGAAACTCGAGGTACCACTGTACTGGTATTGTATATTTTCCTCAATGTACTTATGAATAGTGTACAGTTAATAACCAAGTAGATAAGACATATTATTTGTGTGCTTTTACCTATAACTTTTTTTTTTACAGGCTAGAGAACTGTTGCACAAAGACTTAAAAACAAAATTTGGAGTAAATAACATAAAGAGGGTGTTGAACCTTCTGTTTGATTTTGGCTTTACCCGGGAACAGGTAAGTTTCATGCTTTGTGATCTGAGTTTTTTGTATTACCTTATGATCCATTCCTGTGTTCCAGGTATTTGACCAGTTGTTTGGGGTTGCATCCAGAGCCTTTATTCTCTGGTGCTTGTATGTATTATTATATTCACAAAAAATGTGCTAAAATTGTATTGGTCATAGAGCTTGTTGGTTGTAACATTTGATTGAAGTTAATTTTACCTTTTTTGTCACACCATTCTTACATTATCAGTGCTTGTCTTTAAATTGCCTCTTCCTTTACTTTCCAGCTTGTATATCCCTCCCATCCTTACCACTTGTGGTGCTCTTCCTAGTAATGTCCCAACAAGAGTTTTAACAAAACTATTGAGACCTTTGATTCAGTGCTGGCTGTGCTGCATTTTCAGCAGATAACAAAAAAAGTAAACTTTTACTGCCTCCTTGTTTATTCTGACATTTCGTAATTCAGAATCTACTGTTTTCTCAGTGTGATTGTCCTTCTCTGAGTATTTTTCAATACTAGCTCAGCATGTGAGACCACAGGAAGCACTGTTGACCTGAGTCAATGACCATGAAGCTGTTGTTTAATCAAATTGCATTTGGGCTTCTGGACATCTTCCCTTCATTGTTCTTGGTTATGGGAAAGTGTAGTCCCATGAATGTGTATTGGTAAAACATGACCTTCTCATGGAGAGGTATTCAGTGTGGCTGCATAAATTTTTTAAGTCATGCTGACTGTTGATAGAATGTTCAGTCCATCAGAGAGCATGCCAATTTAGTTTTGTTCCTCTTCTTTAATGCACTGACTGGCTTACCCTGTCTGTTCTCACCCAAAGTTTCAACTTTAATGACGATTTACCATTACTCATAACCGACACTGCTTTAATATTAAGCACCAACTGGTTTCATCCTTTTTGCCCATTTGCTTACTGCTCATCACTCGTACATTGCTGATTAACCAAAAAATAAAAAAAAAAGCACAATACCGTGACTGGAACAATACACAAATAAACTACACGTAGGAGACAGAAACTTATGATGATGTCATAAGTTTCTTTCTCCTGTGTGTGGAAATAATTTAATGACAGTAGTATGCATGTTTCTGCTGAAGTTGTTCAAGATTAGCGATTTCTTTGTAATATAACACAATATTTGTAATGTGAACAATACAGTAGTCTACCCTCATATCCATATCCATGGGGGATGTATTCCAAGACCTATCATGGATATCAGAAATCGCGGGTAGTAGCAAACCCTATACAGCCTCTCCTCACTTAATGGCAGAGTTCCGTTCCTAAGACTACGTTGGAAAACGAATTTGTCACTAAGCAAGGAGCAAACTTTAATGGTAGTGCCTTTGTGTCATCCATCTTTGATATTGTTGTAATGTCACCTTTGCACCATTTATAACATTTTTAGTATATGTAATTTTAAACATTTATGTAGTAGTCTACCGTATATTGTAATAAACAGAATAGAGGAAATCAGCTCTAATATACATTATTTATGTATGCATATTAGTCAGGCCATCGTAAGCCTGAGTCGTTTGTAAACTAGTATGTTGCTAAGTGAGGAGAGGCTGTATATAAGTCGTTTTTTGTTGACATACATATCTATGATAAAGTTTAATTGATAAATTACACAAAATAAGTGGAGAATTAGTACTTTTTCACTGATGAAGCACTTCATGGCTTAGGCTTTGAAGAACTGCCACCATCACTACTTTTGCATTTTGGGGCCATTATTAAGCAAAATTAAGGAGGGGTGTTAATGTTGCAGTTTTATACTGTAGTGTCAGCGCACCTCTGGCAAGACAGTAATGGAGTGAATGATGAAAATTTTTCTTTTATGAGCCACCCTACCTTGGTGGGAAACAGCCAGTGTGTTAATAAAAATAAATTTTCAGACCACGGTAAACCATGGATAAGAAAGCACCAAAACCGAATCCGCGGATACGGGGGTTCTACTGTAGCGTTTTCACTATGCTGAGAGCTAAAAAATTAAATTTGTATTCTGTTAAAGACTTTTAAATTTTCCCCTGATAGACTTACAATAGCTACAGTAGACTGCCTAATATTAGACATGTTTTATACTGGATTCAAAATATTGTATTTTGAAGCAACTCATTGCAAACTTTTTTTTTCTTCAGGTAATAAATGGTACAATAGTACTGAATTTTGAACATAGTATAGTTGAGCAAGGTCTGCGAGAGTTTCCTTCAAGGCCAGAGACTCAACCCTTTGATGAATGGATGGAGAATCCATTGGTGCTTCACCTCTTGGCCTACTGTATCAAAAAAGATGTTCCTCACCTTGATGTATCTATAAAAAGATAGAATGACTTTACCATATGGGAAGTTATGTATAAATGTTTTATATATATATATATATATAAGTTGTTCATCTTTGTATCCTTACCCTGTAAACCGTTGTCCTGTTGAAGAATAAAACCTGTGAAGAAAAATTATGCACAGTACCTGGAGTAGTAAGGGGCCTTAATTCCACTGATTGACTGACTTCTGCTTCAGAAACAGTGCAGTGCACCTTCCACTTCCAGAGAGATTGAGGTTAGTAATGCATGTCCTGAACACACAACTTACAGATTTTAAGAAGGGAAAAATTACTTGTAAGTAAATACAGTATCACTCCAAACCTGTCTTCTAAAGGATACATAGAACACAGACAACTGTTAGGCTTACAAACAAAAATCAGAAATCTAGAAAGAGTTTCAAGATATCTTAGGCCTGGTCATGGAATGGGCCACAGGGGCATTGACCTCGGTCACCCTCCAGGTATACACCTTCCAGGTACATCTGTGTCCCATAACTATGAAAGTAGATCACCCTTTTGTTGGGAAGAGTCCTTGAATTGTACTTCAATGACTGCTATATCCCAAGCCCTTCAAGGATGCCTTGATGAAAGTATAGGGCTCTTAGTATGAGGAAACAGAACTGACCTCTCCTTTCTTCGATCAAATGTGATCCTTCCATTGTTCATGTGCTGCACGATTTCTATAGGTTTAGTGCTCCCCCTGCCTGTGAATGTAATAATACATTCCAAGCACAGAAACCATTGAGGCAGAACAAAGAATTGTCTTTGATATTATAAGTTAAATAATATGTAAATTTTTCAGTGTTGTACGGTCCCTGTGGGTTCAATACTTTTTTCATAAACAGAATATACCAAGGAAATAATGGTAATATATGTATATCAGTGGTATACAATACTGATCAGTTGATGAATACTTATATACAAAGTAGACTGTGTATGGATAGATATTAGGCGACTACCAGACAAACGATGAATATGGGGTGAATACCACTAATAGGGTGAATATGGGGTGACTAACCTGCACAAGATGAATATGGGGTAACTACCACCCAGTATGAATATGGGGTGACTACTATCCAAATCATGAATATGGGGGGTGACTGCCACCCAGGATGAATATGGGGGTGACTGCCATTGACAGGATGAATATGGCGGTGACTGCTACTGATAGGAGGGATATTGGGGGACTGTTACTCAGGATTAATATAGGGTAATTGCCACCCAGGATGAATATGGAGTGACTGCCACCCAAATGATGAATTATGGGGTAACTACCACCCATTTTGATAAAATATGGGGTAAACTACCACCCATATGATGAATATGGGGGGGGACTACCACCCATATGATGAATATGGGGTAACTACCACCCACATGATGAATATGGGGTGACTACCACCCATATGATGAATATGGGGTGACTACCACCCATATGATAAATATGGGGTGACTACCACCCTATAAATATGGGGTAACTACCACCCATATGATGAATATGGGGTGATTTACCACCCATTTGATGAATATGGCCGGGTTTCGATTCCCGGGGGTGGAAACATTTTGAAAAGTTTCCTTACACCTGTTGTCCTGTTCACCTAGCAGCAAATAGGTACCTGGGTGTTAGTCGATGGTGTGGGTCGCATCCTGGGGGGCAAGTTTTAAGGACCCCAATGGAAATATAAGTTAGACAGTCCTCAATGAGCACTGACTTTCTTGGGTTATCCGGGGGTTTGGCTAACCCTCCGGGTTAAAAATCCGAACGATATCTTATCTTACTTATGGGGGGGACTACCACCATATAATGAATATGGGGGTAACTACCACCCATATGATGAATATGGGGTGACTCCCACCCATATGAGGGAATATGGGGTAATCCCACCAATTGATGAATATGGGGTGACTACCACCTATGATGAATATGGGGTGACTACCCCCCATATGATGAATATGGGGTGACTACCACCCATATGATGAATATGGGGTGACTACCACCCATATGATGAATATGGGGTGACTACCACCCATATGATGAATATGGGGTGACTACCACCCATATGATGAATATGGGGTGACTACCACCATATAATGAATAGGGGGGTGATACCACCCATATGATGAATATGGGGTGACTACCACCCAAATGATGAATATGGGGTGACTACCACCCATATGATGAATATGGGGTGACTACCACCCATATGATGAATATGGGGGTAACTACCACCCACATGATGAATATGGGGCAGCTATCAACAACAGGATTAATATGGGGCGACAACAGTAGCTCGATCGGTTGCGCACTCAGCTCACACACTGAGGTCCGGAGTTCGAATCATCTCCGGTGCGGCTGGAAAACATTAGGGATGTGTTTTCATAAGACACCTGCTGTCCATATTCACCCATCAGTAAAATGGGGCACCTGGGTGTTAGTCGACCAGTGTGGGTCGCATCCTGGGACAAAACTGACTTAATTTGCCAGAAATGCTCTGCATAACAAGGGACTTTCTATATAGTAGTATGTCATTGATGTCAGCTAGACCTATATAACTTGTACATATACAGTACTTGTAAATAAAGATTATTATTATTATTATTATTATTATTATTATTATTATTATTATTATTATTATTATTATTATTATTATTATTATTATTATTATTATTATTATTATTTCGCAGTATGGGGTATAAGTCAAATAGTGAAAAAATAAAAGCCCTTTCACAAAAATCATTTATTTTAAGCCTGTTGTTGCAAGTAAGTTTATTTAGGTACATGTATACATAAGTGCAAAGATCATACATAGTAACATATGTGTATATAACCCCAAAAAAGGTTAGGCAAAGTGACTATTTCCATTGGGGGTCCTTGTGGTCCATGTGGATATAAAGTCTTTGACTTTGAATTTTAACTTTGATTAGGGGTTCATCCAAGCTCTTCCAGCTGACCTAATTGAGAACATATTATTCCCTTTTCTATCTTTTCAGGAAAATTCTTTCCTCTTCATTTCCAGCCAGTGATAAGTGGCTTTGGCATGCTGCTCTTATCTGTATTTTTTTGTACCTCTGTATGTATGCTCAAATTGTAAATGTATATTTTATTCCCAGGAAGCAGTGCTCAATAAGACGTAAGTTTTAGTGGCCCTCAAAACCGCCAACAACAACAACAACAACAACAACAATGACAGGATTTGAGTGGCCGTGGCAGTACAGTTTTCCACCTTTTTTCACGTATGTTATCTCTTAGTTAAACTTTAATATGTTTATATGACAAGTTATTGATCATCAGCGAATCACTTTTAACTAGGAAAACCACAACTAACAAGACAATGATTAGTGATAAGAGGGGGGATTCCCAAATTTTTTTTTTAAATTCTTTTTCAGTAAAGATAAGATTTGTTGTTTTTTTTTAACCAGTGGGAGGATTAGCCACCCAGGATAACCCAGGGGAAGATTAGCCACCCAGGATAACTCAGGGGAGGGTTAGCCACCCAGGATAACTCAGGGGAGGGTTAGCCACCCAGGATAACCCAGGGGAGGGTTAGCCACCCAGGATAACCCAAGAAAGTTTGCATTATTGAGGACTGTCTGTCTTATTTCCATTGTGATCCTTTAATCTTGTACCCCAGGATGCCACCCACACCAGTCGACTAACATCCAGGTACCTTCTTATTGCCAGGTGAACAAGGACAGTAAGAGTAAGGAAACATGTTTAACATTTCCAACCATACTGTGGATCAAACCACAGATACTTGGTGCGTGAGGTGAGCGTGTTTCTAAATGAGCCATGGGACACCTATAGCATTTTCATAAAGCTATAAAATTAATAGCTGCAAATGAGAGTAGAAGTGTAGCTGTGGAGTACATGACACATGTAGTATATTGGACATGGTACTGAATAAAGAAAACATCCGCTCTTAGTAACTATTGTGTATACTAAGGATGAGATGATGCCAAAATGTTTGGCAATACTGATACTCAATTTGAGGCCTTTAACCCTTAAACAGTCCAAACGTATATATATGTTCACTCGCGCAGCACCCCAAATTTTTTGAGAATTTTTTTTTTTTTAATAGGAGAAAAAAGCATGTGGTACCCAGGCGTTCCAAATTTTTTTCATATGGCACACAATGAGTGCACACACCCATTCTCTCATGTCTAGGCGACTCAGGCATATCATGCCAATGTTGAATGAATGACAAAGGAAACGTATATATACGTTTGGGGCGCTACGCGAGAGAACGTATATATACGTTTGGACCGTTTAAGGGTTAATGATAACATAAAAAATTAGCTGATACCCTCTGTTACCATAAAAATGAGCCTATGCCCATCAATACCAATATTCACGTTTAGACTGTTCAGATTCCATCAAATTAGCTGATACCCACCAATACAGATACTTTGACACATTTCTAATACATACTATATACCTCAATATTGTAAATCTAATTATGTGCCTGGCTGGGTATGTATCTAATTATGTAAATCTAATTATGTATGTGCCTCATACTACCTCAATATTGTAAATCTACTTATGTATGTGCCTAGCTAAGTATGTGTCTAATTTTGTATTTCTTTCTTTCAACGCACCGGCCGTATCTCACCGAAGCAGGGTGGCCCAAAAAGGAAAAAGGAAAGTTTCTCCTTTTACATTAGTAATATATACAGGAGAAGAGGTTACTAGCCCCTTGCTCCTGGCATTTTAGTCGCCTCCTACAACACACATGGCTTACGGAGGAAGAATTCTGATCCACTTCCCCGTGGAGATAAGAGGAAATAAACAAGAACAAGAACTAGTAAGAAAATAGAAGAAAACCAGAGGGATGTGGTTGTATTTATATTATTTATATATATATATTTTTTATATATATATATTTATATAATATATATATATATATTTATTGTCGTGCCGAATATGTAAACTGGGTCAATTAGCAAGAAATCATTTAAAATTAAGTCCCTTTTTGAAATTTTCTCTTACACGTTTAAAGATATTTTTTTTTCATTAATGTTAATGTAAAATTTTTTAATTTTGACCCAAAAAAATCTTAGAAAACTTACCTAACT